CTGAGGACTCATTCATTTGTATCTCATCAAGGAGGCTCCCAGCCCCAAATCATCCCTCACCACACCTCCTGGCCAACCACACCCCTATGTCAAAACAAACATAACAGTGCAGACCTCCACCAACACCAGATCAGGTACCAGCAGCTTAGGGTGTCAGAGAACATCTGCCACTCAGTGCAAACAAAGGAAAGAAGGCATTCCCAGCATAGCACAAAGCCATGGGCCGTGAAAGACAAAAGCAGATGGTCAGATGGCATAGTGGTTAAACACATGGTTTCCAGAGTCAGAATGCCTAGGTTCAAATCCCTGCCACAAACTGGTGTGAGGCCTTAAGAAATTACTTACCTCTCTGGGCTGCAGTTTCCTCATCATTTATTTTAAAAAAAAAAGTTATAAAAATAATTTATTCCATAAGACTGTGGTAGAATTAAATGAGATAATGTGTAAATAGCACAGCAGAACTCCTGGTATGTAATAAGTGCTCAATACATGCTGGCTATCTTTATTATCTGATATAAACTTGTCCACAGCAATCCTAGCCCTCAGTCTTGGAAGGCACAAATCTCTCAAAGAAAGTCCTTCACCCTGCTCCTAGGACCAAACTCCTCCACCGCCCAGGCCCAGTACCCACCATGCGGGGAGGACCCAACACCAGTACTAACAATGAGAAAAGCCAAGAACAACCTGGCATTAACAGCACAGTTCTCCAACCCCTCACACTGCAGGAAGGCCCAAGATTTCTTCTTTTGTTCCATTCTCCCTGAATCTACCTTCCACTGATCCTCTGTCATTCTTCCTGAGTACAGATTCCACAGGCCCACTCCATTACTTAGCTGTCATTTATTCAACAAATATTTATTGAAATACTACATGTCAAACATTGTCCAAAGTTATGATGCCCACAATCTAGTGAAAGAGACATACAAGTAGAATTTATACAATTCCATATATAAATAAGTACATTCCAGAAGCACACCGGAAGGCACCTAGAAAATGTTGTTAAGATGGATCCTAAGGGGGACGCCTGGGTGGCTCAGTAGGTCAAGTGTCTGACTTCAGCTCAGGTCATAATCTCACAGTTTATGGGTTTGAGCCCCACGTCAGGCTCTGTGCTGACAGCTCAGAGCCCGGAGCCTGCTTCAGATTCTGTGTCTCCCTCTCTTTCTGTCCCTTCCCTGCTTACATTCTCTCTCATTCTCTCTCTCTCTCTGTCTCTCTCTCAAAAATAAACACACAAAAAAATTTTTTTAATGATGGGTCCTAAGGAACTGGCTAGCTGGAGCATCCAGCTGGGGTCAGGGGATGCACAGAGTACTGAAAGATGAGGTAAGAGAAGTAAGCAAGAGCCTTGGAGCCTCAATAAAACTGTGTGACTCTGCCTTGAGGGCAAGAGAAAGCCTCGAAGGTGTTTGTTGCACAGGGCTGTGACATAATTTGCTGCAATTAGGAGAATCCCACAGAAGAAGTAAAACTGCAGTCAGAGAGACTAGCTAGAGGACTTTTTAATCCAAGAATATGGTGACCTGAACTAGGGCAGTTATAGCAGAGATGGAAAGAAGGCAATGACTTTGAGAAACCCCTGGCAAGAAGAATCAACAAGACTTAGCAGTTAATTGGTTGTGGCTAGAGAAAAGGAATCAAGGAGTCGTCTCGGGTTGCTGATAAAACTACCAGGTGGAGGTCCCAGTCACAACCTGAGAGTAAGCTGGAGGACTAGGTGTTGGGAGAAAGATGACACCTGAGCTTTAGGGGGACTGTGGGGACCTAACTGGAGATACAGAATCAGCAGTTGGATGTGAAAGCTTGGCGTTCAGATGGCAGAGAAAGCAGACTGCTTTTTGCCAGCAGGACCTCTGCTGCCATGTTAAAGATGGCACTCACGGAGGCATTCCCTACCTGGGTAGGCAGAGAAGAGAGAAACTTGGTGAAAGAACACTAACTCCCACGAGGAGCTTCAAGAACCACGAGGTAAGGCAAAGGAAAGGCAGGTCAGGTAGGGGACGCAAGCTGACCAAGGGTCAAAGCCATAATAAGTGTCATTTCTTAAACAAGTTGAGAAGGAAAATTAAATCCATGCCCACTGAATTAAAACCCACCTCAGCAGGTTCTGTGACTACAGCATCAAAGCCCACAGAGTATCAACTCTTCTGGCTTTGACAAAAGATGGACACAAAATGATTCTGTCGGGACAGGAGCAGATTTCTTTTTTCCAGTGGGATTTCCGCTGCCACTTCAGTTCCCATTTCTCAGTGCCTCACTAATCAGGCCCTTTCCAACAAAAGTGATGTGAAGCTGCTTGGGGGTGCGTGTTGGGAGAGAGAGGAAGGGCGGCAATGAGAAGGAGCCATGGCTCCAGAAAACTAGAGTGGGAAATGAAAATATTTTCTGAATTCCTTAGACTCAGTTAAATCTGAAAATGGATGTCAAAATAAGAAGTAAGCCACATACTAACAAGTTGCAGGTGTCAATTTACCACCACCCTTGTCAGGCTCATCAGCAGCCTTTACCAGGCGCATAAAAAGGTGATGGCTCTGACGAGAGCCATCTGATGAGAGGTTCCAGGAACACCGATAAGCTGTGCACTGTCACGCAGCACTACTTAGGTTTCCTCTCTGGCTGTTTTTATTTTGTTACACATTTAATTAAGAGTCTTCCCAGCAGTTATGCGGAGTCCTGCTTTTAAAGGCAGCCACAAAGCTCTCCTCCCCCCAACCCCTGCCACCTGACATCTGCTTCCTTCCTGCATATTCTTTTTCAGAGCTTCACTGGCCTTTTCAATATAAACCCAAACCAGCAACCAAAGTCTTCCCAACCCATCTCTTTTAGAAGCAACATGGTCTTAGAATTCAATTCTGTCTAGCTATGAATCTTTAGCATTTGGGGCCTTGGTTTTAAATACTGTTTTGTGTTACGCATCTATAAAAGGGAGATACCACCTTCTACCAGGGAAGACAGAAGTACTGAATGAGGTATGGTGCATGCTCATTAAAATTTGGTTTCTTCTCCTATATGTTTGGATTCAATGATCCAATCCCTCTTCTTGATTACATCGTTTCTTGTGAAGATGCCTCCTGAGACACCAAAATCTGTCCTGGGCCCACAGGGCTAAACTGGTGTTACAGACCAGAATGGGCCAGACACAAAGAAGACAACATCCTCTGAAATTCCTTCTTCTTCTTATAGAGAAACCAACCTAAGCTTAGGAGGCCCGGCCAGATAGTCCCTGCATTCTTGCACAGGGACATTTTCATACACACATGTATGCATGTGCCATTCACAGTTAATGAAGAAGATTCTGAAATGAAATATGTGTGTCTGGGATATGAACACCCCAAAGAGTGAAAACCACTGGAAGAGTGGGAGTCCTGGGAGGCTATCTGGAGAAACTAGGCCTCTGGACTAGGCTACATGAGCCACAGATGCTGGGAATCAGCCTGAACCCTGCCACCCCAAATAGCTTCTCTTATGCTGCTGAAATCCACCTAAATCTCTTCTCTGCTTCAAGTGCTCAGAGCTTCCCAAGATGCCATAAATAAGAGCAACAGCCTTCCTCCTCCTCACCTTCTCCATGGAACCCTCCCCTGATTCATATCTGCTTCCAGATCCAGCCTCCGTAATTTCCCTGACACGAGTGTCATCTGGGAGCACAAAGATCCTCTGGAGCTCTGGGAGTCCTGTGTGCACACCTAGACGTATGCATGTGTACATGACCTGAGGGATATGAAGATGTGTGTGGGTGTTTATGTGATCTGGGCTTCTTCCTCTTCCTGCCTCACTTAGGGAGTTGGTGTCCAGTAGCAGGCTTGACATCCACCTAAGTGCATGACTTCACCTCAATACCCAGCATCCAAAAGGCATAAAGAAGGACCTTGGTGAGAAGATAATACCTAATTTGGTAGGAAATGTCACTCCAGAGCCACTATTCCCCATCTCCCACCAATACCCCACCCTATGCACAAAGCTTGTGTGTACACGCGCGCGCGCATACACACACACACACAGAATGCTTACTGCTGCCTTCGGTCACAAAGAACACAGAGGTATCGATTCTATCAATCCTCAGCAAACAGTGCCCCCACCACCTCCACCCTGCTTTATCTCCCTGGGGGCTGTCTGAAGCCAGGTATCCATAAGGATAGACAAGAGGCAAAAGTGTCAACCCGGCAAAGGAACCAGTTCTGTCTTCTATAACCAGGGCAGGACCGGGAGACAAAGGAGAAAAAGCAGTGGGGACAAAGGATGGACAAGGAGGCTGGAGACTTGGGGAGCTCCCTGTAAGCAGCCCTCTCTCATTTCACCACTGGGCCCTCAGTTGAATCATCAGGGCTCTGTACTCCAGATAAAAGGGCAGCACAGCAAAATGGTTAAGATAAAGGACCCTGGAGCCAGGTTGCCTGGGTTTGAATCCTGGCTCTGTGTGTTTTTGGGTAAGTTACTTAACCTCTCTATGCATTAATTTCCTTCTCCATAAAACAGGAATAAAAATACTAGTGTTTTAAAAAAAAGGATCTGGGGCACCTCGATGGCTTGGTCAGTTAAGCACCTAACTCTTGATTTCAGCTCAGGTCATGATCTCATGGTTGTGAGACTGAGCCCCACATTAGGCTCCATGCTGGGCACAGGCCTGCTTAAGATTCTCTCTCTTAAAAAAAAAAAAAAGAAAAGAAAAAGGAACTTCTTATAACCCTTCCCTCCCTCCCTCCCTCCCTTCCAGGACAACAAGTAACCCCAGAACTGGAAGGGCTGTCCTGAGCAGTGGGACCTGGCAAAGGAGGATGGCTCCAACAACAGCAGTCCCAGTAGGGTCCTTGACTTGTCTACTCCCTGCTCCAGAGGCAGAAGACAGGGCTCCCAGCCCCTCTTCTTACCTTAGCAGCCCTGAAGACCCAGGGACTCTCTGACTCAGCTTCCCTGTAGGCGTCGACGTGTAAGCTTGAGACAGGAAGACCTAGTCCCACAGATTCCAAGCCCTGCCAGCAAAGTAGTCTTCTCATACTCACATGACTTTCAAGTCCCAGTCTCCACAGGTGACAAAAATTGACTTGACGTTTGGATCTAAGAGGCCTTCTTTCGCCATCCACTCATCGACCCTCTGAAAAGTACACAACAAGAACAGGTGAGATTTTCCCTTTTCTTTTTTCCTTCCTGAGTCTGTGAAGAGCCACAACAGTGAAACGCAGATAAGCTGCTTGTAATCAGAGCAGGAGAAAACTGTAATCTTATCCAGCCATGGCTCTGCTCTGGGCTCTCAGCCTTGGCTCAGGGCTGTGGGGGCACCAGGAGGACAATTCCTGCAGGAAGATCCACAAGCCCGAGTGAGTGGGGGGAGGAGGGAGTCCCTCCACTGTCCCACCGCCTGCCCCAGACAGGATAAGGACATATCCCAGTAGGAGGGTCCTCAAAAGCAGAGCCTAGCACAGACACAGGTTGCCCTGGGCCATGAAAACAGGCTGGAAGAAGGCTCCAAGCAGGGACTCCAAACCACAGGTTCCTTCATTCACTTACTCATTTCACCCTCCTACTAAAGACTTATCAACCACATTTAGGAATTTGGTTATTCCCCCCATGAAAGTGAAGTTAATCTTCACTGTGAATCTAGCAAAAAAAGCTCCCTTGTTGGGCCGGAACCCCTTCTTGGTCCCGGGGATAGCACTGCCTGCTTCAGTTACTAAAAGCTCATAAACTGGCCCCAGACTTCATGTTTCTCCTCTCCTAGCTGAGGATTCAAATTCAAATTCAGTGGACTCTTTTGAAGGCTGAGCTCAATTCCTAGACAGAGATAAAACCTGCTCTTAAATACACTATAAGTATTTCTTTCCCTTCATCCCTTTGATCGGTTTTATCATTTGCACTCAAATTGGAAGTACAAACACTAAAATCAGTATATAATGAGAGAATTATCATAAAGAATTCATGAAGTATCGCCTATTTTTCAGGAGATCCCAGGCATGGGGTGAGCGTATAGCAGAACACCACTGCTCCACTCCTGCAGAAGGATTAGTTTTTAAAGGCAAAGAAGCTAGAAACACAGGATTGAAAGTCAGACACATCTGGGTTCTAACCCTGGCTCTTCCATATCCTGGCTGTGTCACTGATGGGAAGTCATTTAAAAGTCATTTAACCTCTCTGAACTTCAGTTTCCTTCATCTATAAAACGAGGCAGGATGACTAACCTTACAGGGTTGTTTTGAGAATTAAATGTAATAAGGTATTAAGTGCCTACCACAAAATAGACAGTAGGCTGAGAAGGCGAAAAAGGCAGATCATCATAATACAATATAATAGATGCAGCCATGGAGAAGTGACCAGAATGCTATAGGACCAAGAGGATGAAATGGCTAGCTCTATCTTTTACAGAGGAAGGAGTCAGAAAGGAAGGCTTCATACATAAAGAGACAACTGAACTCGGGATTTTGTGGTTGGGTTTGCTTGACAGGATGGAACATAGGAAAGGATGCTACAGGCAGAGGCAAAGGCACACGCACAATCATTTTGTAATTGAGAATTGTGTGCTTAATGTCTGCCCTCTCCACCAGACTATAAGCACCATGAAGCCAGGGACTTTTATTTATCTTATTCACTGTCTTAATCCCTAACCTACCACAGTGGCTTCTCAAAAGATACCTACTAATTTACTGATATATGAGTAGGGAATAGTGTGATCAATGTCCACAATGTATAGAAAGGAGGGACAGGAAATGAAGCCAGGGGCTAGGTTAGCCCAGACTGTGAAGACTCCAGCAAGTAACTGAGAGCCCATGGAAATCCTGAAGATTACTTCTAGCAGGTATAGGCTGGCTCCCTGGACATCTCAGAGATCCTGGAGGCCTGGGCCACACACAGACACAATCTTTGAGTAGGGCCAAGGATCCTACGTGGTTCCATGGCTAAAGCAGTCCTCTCCCAGGAGGTCAGAGCTGCTCCCTGAGCCAGACTGTGCTGACCTTCTTCATAGTCTGTATACCGGAGAATCCCTCTCAGGCCAAGAGTCTCCTCAGCAAGCTAAATTCTGGACTTTCCACTGCTGAATGGCTTGTCTCCCCAGCCACTCTGGCCCACTTGCACAGAATAACATGCACACTCGTATATCTTTTCCCAAGACTTTACATAAGAGGTAAGGCAAACCTAGAGCTCCCTATGTCAGCTAACCCTGCTCCAGCTCACTGGCCTTAAATCCCCAAGGGAAGTGACCCATCTGCCAGGGGGGCTTCTCCAATGCCCCAACTCCTGCACAGTGCTCTTAGATAAGAGCAAGACAGGCCTGTCAGGAGCCAATCCTCAGCAAAACCAAACCTTCCCCATGAGAAGCCTTAATACTCACTGGGGTCCTTCCGAAGCTTAGAACCTAGGCCATTCACTCATGTGATAGATATTTAGTGAAAATCTTCCACTGTAAGCCTGTCCAGGGAAGTGATACTACATTTGGAATAAAGCCTGTCCTTTTCCTTCCCCCTATGCTTAAATGGAAAAAGAGCTGGAGGAACCACTGAGAAAACCACCAATCAGCTGGGCTAGCCTTCCCAGCTACTGAAGCTCTAGCCTGTGTCCTACTTGGACCAAATTAATCAGGCAGACATGTAGCTGGCCACCTGTTCAGGGCCTTGGTTAGGATAAGAAGTTAGCTCTTTAGCTGTATGACCAATTTAGGGCTAATGGGACAAAGCAGGGGCACCTGAGTGGCTCAGTTGGTTAAGCATCCAACTTCGGCTCAGGTCATGATCTCACGGTTTGTGGGTTCAAGACCTGCGTCAGGCTCTGTGCAGACAGCTCAGAGTCTGGAGCCTGCTTCAGATTCTTTGTCTCCCTCTCTCTCTGACCCTCCCCTGCTCACACTCCATCTCTATCTCTCAAAAATAAATAAACATTAAAAAATAAAAAAAAATTTTAAAAACCCCAAGAAACAAAGCAGAGCCTGTTCTAGTCTCCCTGCCAGAGACTCTATTCAGGCTGATGCCAGGAATCTTTCCTCTTCACCCACACAGTGTGCTGAAGTAGCAGAGAGTAGCCTCCTGGGTGAGACTCAGAATCCTCTGAGCACCCTGCTCCAGGATGGCCTGGGGTCAGCAAGAGGAAGCCTCCTGAAGACCCCAGCTCCCTGGCAACCATCACCAATAAGGAAAAAAATCCCATAACTTCAACGGCCCTGGTTTGGTGCTGGCCTACAGCAGGTATCTTCCTTTGAGGATCCTGACCAGAGGCATTCCAAGAAAAAGCTGCCTGCCCTCTGGCCTCCCTCAGATGCTAGGCCCTGGCTGGGACATAGGAAAGGATTGGTCCCCTCCTTCTCCTTGAGTCTAGTCTTACAGGGTACAGTCCATGCTAAGGGGACCTCTCAATCGTAGGAGTCAATCTCTCCTGAAAAAAAGAGGGTCAGTGGGGCTGGGGGATACCTCAGAGCTCATCTTACCTTCTCCCAATCTATTGCAGGTACCCTAATGCGGACCCTACCCAGAGCTTGACCAATCACAGTGCCTAGACTTACACACTCCCAAGGGCAGAAAGCACACCTGCCACTAGGTAAGCCTAAACCTGACTCCATCCTGAGGAGCCCCAAGAAATCCAGTCCGCATTTCTCTCTCCCATGGGGCAGAGCCTCTGGGCTGCCTACCTCCAATGCAGATGTGCCCTGCTATCTCCCCAATACTCTGCTTTCTCCTGTGCTTTGATAAGGGCTGAGCTTTGGGTTTATTGGTTGTAAAGATAAATAAAGCACCAAATGAGATCCATAGGCTTTTTCTCTTCTGCCCTCCCTCTACAGAGGAGGGAGAGGGAGGGGGACCTTCTCCCTTGGTGAAAACCCCCAGGCCAGAAGGGGTGGGAGACTAGCTGAGGCCAAGCACAGCCCTTCCTTATTCCTGTAGGCTGGAGCACAAGAAGCAGCATCTTAACCTTTTCCAGCTCCCTGAGGAGAACATCCTAGAAGTGTGGTCTCTGCCAAGGGTTCTAAAGCCTTTAATTTGATTTCCCTCACATAGGCAATTGTTGTAATTATTCTGATTAGGAATCATTACCCAGTGCAGCCTCTGCACCCCTGACAGGCACAATGCATCCAGCGGCAAGCTGCAGTGGGGCAGGCGGGCCCAGCCGCACCTCCTGGAGGAGCTGACAGCAAACAAAAGCCATCGATGGGGAGTTCTGGGTGAGTTAATGAAGTGCTCACATGCCACAGGAAGCCAACACTAAAGCTAAACAAAAACACCTCCAGTCCCCAGGGCTAGCTCTGCAGTGCCACAGCTCAGCCCCCCTACTCCCTGACCTGCCCAGCAAAGGCTGCCAGTGCCACCCAGCAGAGGGCCAGGGACCAGGAGGGGGTGGGGGGCCCTGTGAGGATCTCAGGGCAGCACTCAGACATCTTGCCAGTAACCCTGATGGGAACAGCTGGAGATGACAGATCAATGGTTCAATACTCTCAACAGCATGTCACTGATGTGACAGCAAATGTTATTCTAATCAAGCCATAATCATAGTCAAATTACACGGCTACATTCTCAAGAGGGGAGGGAGAGAAAGGCAGCAGGAAAGGGTCAGAGGTCAGGAATTAAAGGTCATTCAACCTACCTCCAGCACTTGCTGCAGGCTTGGCTGACCATCCACCATAGCTTGAATAATCCCGGTGAGCTGAAAGGAAAGAGAAATAGCCAATAGGTGGAACAGGAGGGCACAGGGTTCCAAAACTGGACTGGATCGTTTTCTTTCTGTTTTTCTCCTTCTACTGTAAAAGATTCTGGCATGCACTGCTTTAGGCTTAGAATCTAACAGAAGCTTTGGGAATAAAGTCCCAGGATACAAGGTGAATTCCCTCACAACATCCTGCCCTGAGAGGGGAATACACATCTACATACTGACCACAGGGTGTGTTTCATATCTATTTCAGCTTTTACTTTGGGGGGGAAAAGATTTTATGCATTATGTATCTTTTGTATTCAATGGGCTCAATTAACTCCCTACAAATTACAGTCTAAAGTCAATTCACCTCCAAGCTACACAGAAGTTCCCAGAGAACTTAGGGAATGCTCACACAGGACAACCCTACTTGGGTTCAAGTCCACCCCTTATCTGTGTCTTGATGTCCAGCATTTCCCCCTCTAACATCTGTGAAAAGCCAGGGGAGCCCCACAGGCATCCATCCACCCTTCATCCTGAATACCTGGGCCCTCAACACCAACTAGGCAAGTAAGAAATAGACACCTTTAACTTAATGCAGATGAAAAGACCTAATGTATGAATCTGCTCTAGAGAATTTCTGACTCACGGGACTATACTACACCCAGGTCAGGACTAGGTTCAAACAAGCTTGTTGCTTTGCACTGTTTGGAAGGAAAATGTCCCTTGAACATAGACTAGGACAGTCTGCCTCGGGGATCGGAGGCAGGAGGCCCCTATCAACAGGCCCGGATCCAGCAGGAAATCATCACCATGTCCAATGTGCCCCTGGCTACTTCCACAGAGAGCAGCATCTCAGGCTTGCTTGGGAACTTCTTCTTCTTCCTTTTTTTTTTTTTTTTTAAGTGGTGGGGGGGATTAAACTCCAATTAAACTATAATTACATGTAATGAATATCAAATACCCAAATCACAGGAACTGCTGGCTCTAAGAGGGAAGGTTATTTTCTCGTAGCGACTTACATGGAATGGTAATACACACCTTTTAGGGAAGAAATTTTCATTTTAAGAACGCTGAGTTCCTCTAGGTGGGTTTCTGTAGTTCATCAAGTCATTATTAGGTGGTATTTTAAGGAAGTGTAAGGACACAGCCACTCTATTTTATATTCCAGAAACTGTTTTTATATTAATCTGTATTTTAATTGGGTAACAGCTGCTGCCTACAGACTTCCCATGGTCTAAAAGGAAAATAAATTAGAAAGATTAACTACACTGTTGTTTCGCAAGGCTTTAACCCACAGCATGCCCACCCGGCTGGCACCTCCACACCCTTTCCTCGCTTGGGAGACCTAAGAACTGCCCAGCAGAGGGAGGGCCTGAGCCAAAGAGAAGAAGAGTTGGTCTGCTGAGGGGTGGGGGTGGAGGGTAAGGGGTGAGGAAGAGCTCTGGGTCAACAGCTTTCATCTTACAGTGCTAAGACTCCTCCGTTTATTTCGTCAACAGCTATTCATGGACAGCCTGCAATGTGCCAGACTCCATTCCAGGAACTGGGGATCCAGCAGTGAGAAAAACATGAAAACCCTGCCCTCATGGACTCTGCATTCTTCTTGGCAGCCCCTCCTATGCCCAGCCCAGCCAGCACCCAGAGCCTGTATACCTTCCAGAGCCATACACTGAGCAGGCAGTGGCCCTGTATTTTATCTCAGGCACCCAGGGGCCAGAGTCCAGAGTAGGCTTGTTGCCAACTCCAGGTCCAACATCTAGATGACTGACTAGCACCAATGCACCCACTTTTCTTCTTTTTGGTCCAGCTTCTCTCCTGCTTGGTTCTTCCAGAGCCAAGCCATATCCCCTAGCTTGAAGCTGGGGCTTAGGGTCAGGATTATCCTGGAAAACCTATAGCCACTCTTACTTCTTAGAAAGCTCTGGGGTCTGTGTGCCAGTCTCATGTCTAGTCTGAGTCTTCTGGGACAAGGGCAGGTCTACCACTTCTCCTGACTCTTACCAATGGTCACTCAGATGAGCTAAACGCTGAAGGGCTTCCAGAAAGATTCGCAGAAGAAACCAATGGTATCCTTGCCAAGAGCCCTCCCTCCTTAGAAATGGGACTTAGGTCAGCATCTGTGTACTCTACACGCACCTGCTCTGGGCCCAGGAAAATCACTAATGTAGAGAGAGAAAATCACTACACCATAAAGGAAAACCAGGGCACTGCTCTCCAGGACCTCTCCCCACAAGCTAGGCCTGCCCCTTCCACCCTGGTGGTAGAGGGTAGGGCTCCAGGGTCCTGGGGCTTTCTCACACTCCTATCCAGTGGTCAGTAGTCCTAGAATCATCAGCCTGAGGGGAGTCTAGTGAGCTCAGCTCCCTCTCTCTCTACATGCTTTCTAGACCACTTGTGGTTCAGCAAGATATGGCTTACAGCTGAATTCCTAAAGGACTTCAACTCACCCTCAGAGACACAGAGGGTTGAGCTATCGGTTCAGCTAGAGGCATCCTTCCAGGAGAAGGCCTCACTCCCCTATATTAATCCTTTCAAGTGTTCTATCAAGGCACTAGATGAAGAGACTGTGAAATTAGGAAAGTTAGTCCATGCACCTGACAACCTAGAAGATCTCTCTAAGACCTACACCAGAAGCCATGAGGGAGAGAGCCAATTTAATAAAATAAATACTGGAAAGTTCTACCTTAGGCATAACTTAAATCCTTCATGCTGCAGTTTAAACCCAATCCCACTTGGGTTAATATATATTTGTAAAAAGCTTTCACATCCTCACAATGAAAGGTACTAGAGCAAAGCCAAGTATTATTAAGCTGAGAACCAGGGCTCACAGGCTAAACAGAGCTCAGAGACCTTAACCACTTAAAGCTGGAGAGGTGAGAGGAAGAATTAATGTGTGCTCTGTGGCTCCTTTCACCGAGGGATTACAGATTAACTCCCGCTTCTCCAGACTCGGAAACCACAAGGCGAGGGGCTTTTGACCCTGACTGATAACATGACTGGTTACTGAGATCCCCTACCCATACAAGGGCTTTGTCCAGGAACGAGCTGGCTTCATCATAAACACTGGCAAATACAGGAAGCAGCCCAGGCCACTCAGTGCCAATAGCATGTCAGCATCCAGCCCTTTCTCCTTTCACAGTTTATCTCCAACACAATCGTATTCTGACACCAAGACAGTTTGTTGATTACATAAGCACTTGTCTCTGGTGTGCAATCTGATAATCAGACCCACTCTTTCTCCTCAGACAAAGAGACCAATAAATCTCAGCCTTTATAAGTACAGGTGCAAGACAAAGCCCTTTACTGGCATTTAGCAAAATGGTATTTTTTCTAGGTTTTTTTTTTTTTTCAAGACAATGACAACAACAACAAAAAAGACTACACATGGTCAGGGACTGTGCAACAGCCCAGCTGCTAGAGGCAGAGATCTGATGAGTTGGAGCAGATATTTGAGGTGGTAGGGAAAGGGCTTGGAAAGGAATGAAACATGTCCCATCCTGTCTCTGTCAGAAATAAATCTCCAGGCAAACTATCAACGGGTACTAAGCCAGGGTCTCAAGCAGGCTAATAACATGTCCATTACACAGAGCAGTAAGAGTGTCTATATGTGGGCTACAGACCCACTCAAAGCAGAATGCCTCTTCCCGCTGAGCCTATCCCGCCCCCCACACAAGCATGTGCTCATATGTGTACTTACGTGTCACAGGCATGCACACATGCGCACACACACACACACACATGCACACAGGCCAGGGTTCTTAAGAACTTCTTGTGCACAAGAGAAAATCCTACTAGAGGAGCTGCTTAGGCACAATCCACAGGTTTTGGGTTGTTCCTCACACTTACTAAGGAAAAAATTCCCTTTGACTGTGATATCTCCATCTCCACCCCAAAGGCAGGAACTGCCATGCTGGATGAGGCCCCACAGTGATGGCTCCCATCTTTTGTCCATGCCTCTCTCTACATTATAACTCCATCTGGTACAGAGACAGAGCAGTATTTGGATGATCTGAGGTTTTCCAAAAAAGACTTCACTTACTCAAAAAAGAGTCAGCAGTACAGTTACCTGGAATTGGGGGTGGCAGGGAGCAAGGTGTGGTTGAATAGCTCTTTAATGATATTCATTCATTTAAGGAACATGTGCTAAGTGTTTGCTTGGCACCAGGCCCTAATGATGGGACAGAGGTGGATCAGATCTGGTTTTGCCCTCAAGGAACTCACAATCTCGTGAGAGACAGATAAATATACACAGTATAATGCATCTGATCAGCTCTTTGTGTAGTGGGACCAGCCAGGGGTTCAGGGGTAGCTCCCCAGAGAAGGTGACCCTGAGCAGAGTCCTAGAGGACAAGAAGGGGGGGCGGAGAGTGGGAGCAGCATACAAGTAGGAGGAGCATCATGCGCAGAGGCAGACTGTGAGGGGGTGACCTTGTGTGAGGGAAGTGAGGGGGTGTGAAGCAGGGAGATGTGAGGCTGGACAAAAAGGCAGGGACCAGGTCAGGGAGAGTGGGGGGCCCTTGAGGCCTGAGGTGAAATGGCACACTCAGTGCCACAGCACAGCCACATCTTCACTTTCAGATAAGGCTTCAGAACAACAGTCCCAACCCACCATGCCTCCTGCACTCCAAATTATTTATGTGAGTCCTGAGGTGAAACTTTCTAGAAAAAAGAAAAATAGCTCCCACCACAGTCTCACAATCCCTCCTCACGTACCCTGCAAAAAAAGCAGTAGCAGTCCTGATATCCCAAAGATCCCTTTTCCCATTACTCTCAAGCACCCACTCCTGCCCAGGGCCGAGCTTCAGCAGCGCTGTTCCATCCCTAAACAGCCAGCAACTCTTCCCAAATTTGGGCCTGCCCAGCTGCACCAGGTAGCCTAGCTGCAGTTGAAGCCCTCAAGTGGGAATCAGCACACAGGGAGGAGGAAGAGAAGGACAAGATGACACTGCACTTTCAGGCCAGTGGAGGCTCAGGTAACTAACAGCCTTGTTTAAGTAAACCCTTTCCATATGGAATGGGATTTTTGCCATCATTAAAATGTTGATTTTTTTTTTTAAGGGGCATAAAGAACAGATTAGCGCCCCCTGGTGGTACAGGTAATTCCCGGGGCAAGGCGGGAGTGGCGGGGGAGGTGCGGGCAGCAAGGGGAGTAGATACCAGAGGGAGGAAGACTCTCAACATCATTAGTGGGAACAACAAAAAGGCATGAGAGACACCTCGGCAGATGAATGCCTGCCCCAAAAGGCCCACCTGGGTTGGGCGGCAAACACTGGCATCAAGCCCAGGAGTGACCCCCAAGACTTCGTATCTGGGCTGAGTCAGCCTCAGAGCCCATGGGGCCTTCCCACCAGTGGCAGGCAGGCCCTTTCCCAGCCTTCTCCACACCAAGACGATTGTTTTGGATCACTTAAGAACTCCTTTCCTCATGTTTCACTCTTGCTTAGAAAGTAGATTTCTAAACGAAGGCACAAAGTCTCGAATATATCCCAGCTCCCAAATTCTTAAAAAGATTCCAGGAACACTCATGTTTTCCCGTTACCTCTGCTGCCACACATACTTGGTCCATGGTTCCACCACAGCCTGTGGCGACTGCAGAGTGCGTAACACAACACATCACAGAGGAAACCAGCCACAGAAGGCTTTTCCAGACAGTCCCCAAAGAGAGAACTCTTCAGGGGCACCTCCTCTCTGCTACTAGCTCTTTTGAGCCTCTAGCAAGCATCAAGAACTGTTAGTCCCAGTTTCACAATCTGTAAAATGGGGCAAATACTAACCTGCAGGCAAGGTGGCAGAGTAGAACACCAGCAAAGGGTGAGGATAAGGATAAGGACATTTCAGCCTTGTCCAGGCTGTCTTCATACCCCACTTGGACTGCCCTTCTCTTTCTTTGATACAGTTGTGCTTCCCACTAACTCAACCAATGCTTCATGCAGGGCCACTTTGTTCAAGGACAGAAAAACATCACCAGAAAGCTAAGACAGCCTGAACATAACCTCTCCTTCTAAAAAGCTGAAATCTTCACCTCTTGTCAAGAGGCCCCAAGGGAAATGGAACTGAAAAGAAGCTGAATCCCAAGGGGCACCTGCATGGCTCAGTTGGTTAAGCACCGACTCCAGCTCAGGTCATGATCTCATAGTTCATGAGTTTAAGCCCCGTGTTGGGCTCTGTGCTGATGGCTCAGAGCCTGGAGCCTGCTTTGGATCCTGTGTCTCCCTCTCTCTCTGGCCCTCCCCTGCTCGCACTCTGTCTCTCTCTCAAAAATAAAATAAACACTAAAAGAATTAAAAAAAAAAAGAAGCTGAATCCCAGAAGCACCATCTTGGTGTGGTGCACCACTCCAAACGCCTGGTCACCAGGAGGGGTAGGGACGATAAGGAAGGGAAAATATTAGGGAATCTGGGATAGACTGTGCCCTCCTTGCATCCCCAGTGACCACAGTGGTGCAAGTGGAGTGGCAGACTTTATAAAAAGCTAACTGCTGGGTCCAATATACACCTGCCTTAGCCACTGGTAAGACGTAAGCTGTCCCTGAGTGGCATGTATAGAGCACCAGTGACCCCAAAGCTCCCATCCCAGCAGCCCCTGCTGCCCAGTGCCAGGGCCCTTACCTCTGTACAGAAGGGAGTAAGCTGTGGATGGACTACGGGCTGGACATACATGTGAAAGGTAGACTCAATCTCCATGGTTCGACCATTTAGCTTCAGGATGGGGAACTCGATAATTTCCTGGAATGGCAAAGATACAGAAAAAGAAGAATACTTTTTTTTAACCAACCATTTCATAACTCAGAGTCAAGAATGAGGGAATGTTTTAGACTCATTAGTTCCTGCCAGGCCAGACCCAAGACTGAGATGGGCTAGCTCAGTTCTAATCCTAACCTTCCCACTGTTAACACCCTCACAGGTGGCCAAGGCTAGACACATGCCCCATCCCTACTATCTCTGGAAAGGGGAAAGAAGACAGTAATATAAGCTGCCCCAGTTTCCCCAACTGGTTCTCTGCCAGAGGCCTATTCCCTGGAGCCCATGAAAATAGCCCCACGCCTCCCCCTTGCCCCAGCCTCTTCTCTGGATGGGCCTGGATCTCCAGCCACAAGACCAATCACAGCCCTCTGCTTTTGAAGTACAAGCAGAACCGATGAGTTTCTTCATTCATTAAAAAAAAAAAAAAAAAAAAAAAAGATAAATAATAAATAAAGCCAAAGGGGATACTAAAGAGAAAAAGAAAACTGAGTAAGAGTAATAGGAGCTAGTGCCTCCCACCTTTCTTTCAGGCAGTACACCCTCCCCCAGCCTGCTCCCCCCAATCACTTAGCCAGCCCTTCCCAGTCCACTGGAACGTAATGGAAGAGAAGGAGGAGGAGTGACAATTTGTTTGGTGTCTCTAAGATTAATTTGTCTCCGTTATTTAATAGAGATGCACAGCACCAAGGTCCTGGTGTGCAAACAGGCTTGCAGAACGCTGGCTGTGCAGCACGCCTCATACATCGCTCCTGGGAAGGGAGGAATGCACCAGAGGGGGGAGAGGGCAGGAGAGCACACGCGCACCAGAGAGAAGAGGGAAAGCGAGGAGAGAGAATAAAAAAAATTATTGCTTTTTAATATTCAAAAACAGTTTGCAAAATTTAATCAAAGCAGAGGAAAAGCTAACATTTTTACCACTTTGACATTTTTATTAGCGCTTTCATAAATTTTTAAAACATGAATGGAATTAGTTTACAACACAAAAAACTGCCCTGAAAACATCTGGAAGAGACAAATAGGAAATAATAAAAAAAATAAATAAAAGCAAAATCCTCCGAGTAAAATTAGCATGTGGAAAAGGCCTCCACTGCAGAGAAAGAAGGGGAGCTTTGCCCACTCCGTGGCCTCCACACTCAGCTCCGGCAGCATCCCTACCCCGGATCCCCAGTTCTGGAGGGGACCTTTCTAGTATCACTAAAATCAAGGCAAACTGGTTCTCTCCAGGGACAGCCTGGAGGAGTAGCACAGAAGCTGCTGACACCTGACTGCATGCAGGACAAGGACGAGTGGGAAGACAGAGAAATGGCCAATCTCCTTGATATCCCAGGGCAGCCAGGTAGCGTCTCTCTCAAACACACCTATTACCATCCGGCTTATTTTTAAAGCATCTATTTTCATCCAACACATTAAAGCAGGGCTGAAGACCAAATCAAGGCAGTCGGATTTCATGACAGAGAAATTCAAAGGTTCTGCTTGCCTGGTCTCCCGGGGCTGATCCCCAAAGGTGGGGAAGCTGACAGGAGCCCCCAGAGACAGGAAGGGCAGCAGGGCGGAGGCAGAGGGGGCACAGCGAGGGGGCCCCAGCTGCTGCTTAGATTGGGTGATATCTTTCCTCTGAACTCGAAGAGAGAAGGGTACTTATCCCCCCAATTCCCGGGGCCTCTCTCATTCCTCACAAAGCACTACTAAGCAGACCTGGTAGAGGAGAATTTTGCACTGAAAAATAAAACTGAGGCACACATACACACCAAATACCCACTGGTCCCCCTGAAAAATCAGATACTGAAGATTTCCAAATGCTAACTCTGAGGTGGGCCCCCGCTGACACCCAAATTTCTGATCTATCCTCGGTGTGCGAGCAGCACTTCCCCAAAAGGGGCTCCCCAGCCTGGTGAGTTTGGCTGCCCTGGTGTCTAAGGAAACAAATACAGCCAGCTCCTCACTAACAATGTTAGCTGGGCCCACAATGAAATTTAACCTGTGACACAACTGTACTTTTCATTTAAACTTTCATTTGGAGAGAAGCAGTGTTTGGAGACCTGCAGTTTGTCCTGCTAATAAAGACAAGTGTTGGGACCTTTAAGGATGCCATTCATCTCTGGCTTTTATTAAATTCAATTTTCTTAAGCCCATGATACATTATGAAATTAGGAGTTGACATTCCTCTGGAAACAAAAATATCTATCAAACATAAATAGAAAAAAACCCCTCTATTACCAAGAATTTATGGCTTAAAGTTGATCTCTTTCCACTTTTTTACAAGCACATGGTTTGTTTTAGATATCTGAAATGTTATTATAGATCTAGAATTTCATTAGTATTTATTATAAAATAGTAAGCGCTTCAGCTCCTGCTCTGACTAGTACCAAGTCAGCATCCCCAGTAGATTCTCTGAAAACTTAGCCTTTCGGCTTCCCCACTGCACCTCTGTCTTCAAACTGTCCTGCTGCTTGCTTCCTCGCCCCTAGGGAAATAGAGCCAACCTGTGCTCACACTCAGTATCACCCTCCCAGAGAGGAGAACAAGCCAGCCTAGGCTCCAAACAAAAAGAGTAGATCCCTGAAATGCCTGGGGGCCAGGGACACGACACGGTGGATTGGACCTATCATAAACACCCCTGCCAAGTGTTGTTAGCCCATCAGCCAGGCCTTCTTCCCAAGACCAAGGAAGTACTTCCAAGAGCCAATTTCAGAACATAACTTTGTATGGGCCCTTTCTCAGCACCATCAGCTGGTGTAACAATGACCTTGTACACAGGCATATTCATTTAAGCCAATGAGGATGCAAAAAAGGAGCTTAGAGCTGGAAGACCCCCTCGGGAGTCAGCTGAAAGGCTCTCATTTGGGTACTTCTTACCTTCCCAGATTGCCCAGAACCTCAAATATTGACCCCATCAGCCCATTCATGAGAGAGGAACTCTAATCTCTACCAAGTTGGCATGACTCTGCGGCCAGTGCACCTGAGGCATGCTAAACACTTCAACAGTTTTCAGCTCCTAACAATCAGAGAGGGAACACCAAAGTCACAGGGTGGCCACATTAATTCCAACCCTGGAGCTTAGGAAGATGTGCCTAAGTACTAGCTTTTGGAGGCAATTGCTCTGATTAGGACAGTTATACCTGCCCATCCTCCTTTTCCCTCCCTCCATCTCCTCATTCCCCTGGGAAAAAGTTTTTAGGAGTAGATGAGTGTCTGTGTGGAGATGGCACCAGAAGGAAAGAAGAACCAGTGTGTATTTACCAGACCTCTATTCCTCCCCTACGAATAGTTCCACAATTCCTTACAACTGTATGTCATTTGCATTCGATTAAACTACCCGAGTAGCATCTACTGTGTGCAGGACACTGTACAGGTGTTGGAGTGGGATTTAGAGAGATATATCTCTGCTTTGGAGAAGTGCACAGACTAGTGAGCAGAAAAGATACTGAACAAACAATGAACAATGCACTATGATAAGTATCTTAGTGGGACATAGTGAGTGTTAGGACTTTCAATTTATAGTGTGCTTGCAAATACATTTTCTTTATCTTACCCTTATTAATCCTGGAGGATAGGTCATATCATCATCAGCAGCAGCAGCAGCTCATAAACCAACACTATTAAGCACCTACTATTTACCAGGCAGGGGATGGGTGTGAACACAGAGACAAAAACAATAAGATGTGGCTCCTCTCTCTGAGGTGCTTAAGAGTCTGGGCAAGGGGTAGAGAGGAGCTGGCCCCGACACTCTCAGGGACATGTGGGAAATGGAATCATTTCATTCCTTTCATTTGTTATTTACTACACGGCAGACACTCTGCTAAATGCTTAATAGGAACGACCTCATTGAATCCTCTTACAAACTCAGGAGGAGGGAATTGCTATGATCCCTATTTTACAGATAAACTAAGGCCCAAAAAGAAGTGGTCTCTTGCTCAAGGCTACACACTCTGTGAGCGGCAGAGCTAGGACTCCAAATGGGGAATGAGACTTAAAAGAGAACAGGACTCGCAGCTTTCAAAATCTGAAGGGTCAAGAGCGGATTCTTCCAGTCTGAAAGGTTGTCTTTAGTGAGCTCGGTCTGTCTCCTAGGAAGAGAGGCTGCCCTCGAGTTACAAGAGCACTGACCATGGACTACATGGGCAGGGAGTAACGCAGACGGCACTATGCTTGGGGGGGGGGGGGGGGGGGGGGGGGGGGGGGGGGAGCCAGGAGCCACAAGCTCCGTTCTCGCATGCAGACCTCGCTCTCTCCACTTTGGTAAGTAACGTGTGAAAGGGCAGATAAATGGCAAGACAGAAGCCAAGCACATGGCTCTAACAGAACACTTCTGCTTTTACAGAGCTCTTCACAGGACCACGGAGGTGATGTGATCTACTGAAGGTGACAAACATGGTAGGTGGTGAAGCCAAGATCAAACCCAGACACAGAACACCCCAAAGCACTTCCTGTCTCTCATCTTTAAGTGGCCTCTCAGGGGCACCTGGGTGGCTCAGTCAGTTAAGCGTCCAACTTCAGCTCAGGTCATGATCTCATGGTTTGTGGGTTTGAGCCCCACACTGGGCTCTGCGCTGACAGCCAGCTCAGAACCTGGAGCCTGTTTCAGATTCTGTGTCTCCCTCTCTCTCTGACCCTCCCCAGCTCGCTCGTGCGCGCGCGCTCTCTCTCTCTCTCTCTTGCCAGCTCAGAGCCTGAAACCTGTTTCAGATTCTGTTGTCTCCCTCTCTCTCTGACCCTCTGCTCACTCTCTATTTCTGAGAGAAAGAGGGAGAGAAAGAAATAAAACATTAAAAAAAAAATAAGTAGCCTCCCATCTTCCCTCAACTGCTATGAACTACCAATGTCTCAGTTTTCTGTCTGTCCAGATCAAGGGTTTCCTGGAACACAGAACTTTCAGAGCTAAAAATGGGACATCTAGTCACCCTACACTGTCCACAAGCTACCTGCACCACTAGGCTGTCCAAAGGTGGAGCATGAGAGACTCAGAAAGCTGGTCGGCTGAT